TTGTGTGTGTGTGTGTGTGTGTGTGTATTTTACACTGACATACACACAGGCATGCACATGGACACACACTCAAAACATAATATCCTTAGTTCAGAACTCTGTAGAATCCTGTTATCTGACATGAAAGAAACTTTCTCTCTAGTGTCAAAAGAGAAAACATTAAGTGTTCTAAGTCTATAGCTTGGAGAAAAGATTAAGAGGAAAATATTTAAGAATCAGTCTTATTCAGAGCTGAGAAGGCTACCAAACTGTTATGATAAGTGTTTGAGGTTAGCTGCATTGTTTCTTATCAGCACTCTCTATATGCAGAAACAATTCCAAAGAGATAACTTTCACACAGATTCTAGATTCCACACACTGATAATTCTTGTTGGGTTGGGATATGTATGTGTATTTATCATTAAAAAAAACTACTTTCAACAAGTTTAAATACAAAATTAAACAGTTGCAAATTAACAATAAAAACCATTGCATTAAAAAAATAAATAGTGAGATATATAGAAATGTAGATTACATTTGCTCAAGGAAATATGTCATTCATAAGAGTTTTAATTTGACTGTTTTACATTAATCAGTAAATTATAGAATTTCAGTGTTAGTTTAGAATATCACAAACTGACTTTATGACTTGTAGACTAGGGATTTAAAAGTAAAATTGAAATGTATTTTAAATAGAACACGTACCACTATAAATTTTTAGCCACCAGGGTTAAGAATCCCTGGTTTATAGATTTTTAAGAGTATTACCAGCAAAAAATAGGTAACTAATAAGTTTCTATTGATTCAAAATGGCATATTTGAATGAGCTCTGTGATTGATACTTAAATGTAATTTAAATACTAATAATAGTATTTTAGTTTCAATTTAATTGATAGTGAGTTTAATACTATAATGAATGAGCTGCTTTAGCATAGTCAAGACTCAGGCACTCTCCCTTTTTAAAATGAGAGCAAGAGAATGCCCAGGCAAGATGGAAAAAGGAATATGTGGTAGATTTCGCACCTTACAAAAGTCACAGGCCAATATTTTGTGCCTTTATAACCCCTAAGATATTGTTAACATCTGATGTTGTTCTTTTTCTTTTTCTTTATAAAGCTATCAAAAGAAAAGGAGTGTCTTTTTTAAAAGATGTTAATCCATATTTTTTTCCTTAAAAATATTTTTGCCAAGATCTTGAAAAACTAGTCAAATAGGATAGCAATTTCAATCTCTATTCCGAGGAAGCAATTCAATTAATCTAGCTTTTATGCTTTAAATAACTATAAGTTAAAAAGCTATGACTATAGAAGTTAAACAATAAGCGACTTCAAAATATATAAGAATGAAATTGGAATGGGATAAGACATACTTGTTTATTAATTTATATACCTCCCACTCTTTCCAGTGTGTTTTTAAGTCACTTTTGTTAACTTGTTTTTCCCCACCCACTTGAAAAATGTAGGTAAATAGATTAGAATTGATTGAAAGATCACAGATATCTCTGAATATCAAACCAAGCTATGATTTTAGGAAGGATGGATGGAGCAGTTGCAGTCAATAAAAATAGAACTGGATTTTTGAAAATATTTTGTCAAAAAGATTAATATACACTTATTGCTAGCATGAAATGGTCAGTGCTGTTGTCTGTGCCAATAATGATAAGAATATGATTAATTAATAAAGGATCTGTTTATTACTACTGGATGTGGTCCTATGAATGTTACTATAATTACTCCTTTAAAAACAATTTCATTTCTAATTTCATTTATTTCACAATCATCCTGTGCTACAGGTTTTTCTGAAAGTCAGGGTAAGATGAGTACAAACCAATTATACTTTTATATTTAGTAACCTCCTCATCTTCCCTTTCCAATTTTTCTTCATGTAAGAATCCTTCTATTATTCTGTTAACTTTTAATCTTTTTATCTTAAGGTAAGTTGCACTGAATTTAATTAGAACTTAATGGCTCATTCCTAGAGAGCTAATGTCCTTCTAGTGCTTACATGACTTAAACATCCTAGAATTTATTTTGAAAGGCTGGTTTGGTCTGTGAGAAAATTTGGAGTTGTATCAGAAAAGGGAGATATTTGATTAAATGTAGCTGCTTCAAAGCTTTAAAGTACAGATAACCTCTGCTTAATTTCACTTTTATACAGCTGGAATTTCTGATAACCATTGACACTCCACATGTAACTAATAGGCGAGAAAAAAAAATTCTACAGTCAATGGAGTGTTTCAAATTACAAACTTCACTTCAAACACTTTCCCTTTAAGATTTTATTGTCTCGCAAAATTACTACTGTTCTTTTCTCTGCAAAGTATTATAAAGAAATAATTTACTTTCATTTTCTTTTTTATATTATTTGGAAAAACACCTGTGCATATTTTAAATATGAAATGCATTTTCTTTCTGTAAAATGGATACATGGAAGTTTAAAAACCTCCATAAATGAATACCAGACTAGTTATGTTATGGATGCTATATATTGTAAATTAAAGTTGATTTATCTCCAAGCAAATACTTTGATATTTACTGAGTGAGCTAAAACATTTTCTCCCTTTATTTTCTATCTTGTTGATATAGATATATAAATACTGGTGCTCAGACAAACTCAGAATCTTGTCATACTGCTTGAAGCAACCATCAATGCAACATAAATTTTCATTTTAATATTTCATCTATGGACTTTTCCTTATCAGCAAGGATGATCATTTTGATGCTTTACTAAAATGCATGAGAGAAAGGATTTATTTCTCTGTTCCATGTTCCACCTTTTAAGAGATTTCATGAAGTCAAACTAGCCCATATCTTGACTTCATGATGTGAGATTCTCAACCACATCCCTTCTTGACTACAACAAAATTCTCAATCAATGTCACAAACTATTATTACTATTTGATTTTTCACCCAAGGAATGAAGATTTGTAATATCATTTTTCTAATTTTTCTAATTGCTTTTAGGTTTAAACAGTGGCATGTAGTCTGCAGATATAAAGTTCCATACATTGGATTACAGCTGCTGAGGTTTGGCTAACAAAAAAAAATTAAAGGCAACACTGCTGACTTACCCTTCTTGCCTTCAAAGTACTTTGGTACTAGGCCTTGTCAGCACAAATGGATTGTATCTGTGCTATAAAAGGAATGCATTTAAGTAGTACCAGATAGATGAATTCAAATTTCTAAGCAGATTCCATTCCAAACTAGTAATAGAAAACATTACTCTTAACAGAATTCTTTTACTTTCTCACATACCAGGTTTAATGTAAGTTTCCTGATGAATATGCATCAGCATTAGTTACTCTCTGCATTCATATAAAAAAAAATGTGCAACTCCATTCATTTTCATCCATTCTCTACTCAAACTTCTCCTACTTATAGGCTTTTAATTGTGCTGCCTGGAATTCTGGGATTTACAATTGCTAGATATCTGGACAAATACTCTGCATTGACCAAAATTGGTACTCTACAATGCCTGCAGATTGATCAGAGGCATTTTAAAAATTACTGACACATAAATCTTGTATATTGGCAGAGCATGAAATAGTTCCTATGTGGAGAATAATACATTGACAAGACAATGAGCAAATTACTTGTTTGGCATTATCCACTGAGATATTTTCTCCAATATAACTCAGAAACTATGCAAGATGACCAGGCAATACACAAGTATTCTTATTCATTTGCCTCTCTTCACTTTTTTTCATACTTTCAAATGAACATATGTAATCACCAGTGTTCACCCCACTGTCCATTAATTGCTACATTTAAACTATTCAAGAGTTAGTGCACCCTGCTGTCTTGAAGTTTCAATTTACTGAAGAAAGATGCAAGATCACATTAGTCTATGTTTATATTGGAGTTTTTATATAAAGTGGTATATTTTTAAATAGGGGGAAAATAATACACTGTGCTTGGCACACAAACATTATTTTTAAGAGCATTAAAAGCCTAGCCTGAAATGCTTAAACTGTATATACAAATACATATACAAATATAGATTACACCTTTCTATTATGTTGTTTTCCAATAATGTACAGCTGCTGTACATATGAAGGATTCACAATTGCAGTATTCTAAAATTCAGTTTTTAATTCAAAGTTCTCTGGATAATTTAAGGGCTTTATAAATGAATAGCCAAATCTATCCTTCAAATCTGATGGTCAGATTCATCGAAAAACCATCTACCATAGTTTGAATATAATCAGTTTCATTAATGACCCTTAAATCAGATCCTAACTTATAGATAACATTAGTTTAAAACAGATTGTTTAGAGGCTCACACAAATATCTTTGGTGTACATTTTTAAGATATAAAATATTACAATAAAAATAACCATTTTGTGTGCTGTAGCAGTTCTTATAGCTCACAGTAAGTGCAGCTTTCAACTTCCTCCCTACCCAGCCAAATCCCTCCCCAAGTTACTTGTTAAATAAAGAAGACAGGTTGAACATAGTTTGTAGTGCAAATAGTAAACAATCTTTTTTAAAAAAAACAAAAAACTTTTTTCTCATTTTTACAAAATATAGAAATGTTGGCCCAGTAACTGGACAAACATGTTCCTTTCAAGTATCTTTCATTTAAGAAAAAATTAAATGGTACTTCCATTTTTTTTAAACTC